TATCACTTTTACGTCGGATTTTTTGCAAAAAGAATGAAATTTTTTGGTTCCTTCGTGCCCCCTTCCCGAGTTCTCCCAGAGTTTTTTTGCATCTAGAACAGTGTTTCTCAACGTGGGCGATATCGCCCCATGTGGGCGTTTTTCCATGTTGAGGGGGCGATTAGTAACAATTTATATTTTGGGGGCCGAAAAACAATTTTCTGGACGATATAGTAAAACTTTATAGTAAGAATAATTGGATATTTTATTCGTTATATCGTACAATAATTAAACAAATAATATTATACTAGTCACTAGTCTATTCAATGCAGTACGAATTTGGCGTTAGCCTTGGCCCTCGGCATTGGAATTTTGAAGTGAAGGGGTCGACGATTCGTTAGAGGTTGAGAAACATTGATCTAGAATCTTCAAATCTACTTTAATTAATAATTTTATTTATTATTTATTAAAGTAATCCAAAATACTCGATGTTTTTAGCAAATATTAACAAATATACATCGTTGAAAATGCGATTCGAGAACGATCTATTTTGAATTTAGTCAGATGTATTACACTAGAGAAATAGAGTAGAGTTGAAAATATTCTCAGTTATAAATTGTGAATTCAACTGACTTCTTGTGTATCTGAATTCATCTTATTTCTCTTTGTATTCATAGAAAAAATTCAGTATTCTGAAAAATATCGTAGAAGAACTCTTTTGCTATTATAGTAGCATAAAGAAGAAAATATTTTTATCATATCTAATGTTCCACAGTTGGCAGAATAAGTCTAAAAAAATGAATCCTTCATAAAATTTAATTTAAAAATTCATGTAATAATAAAAAGAATAGTATTAAATTCTTAAGTTTCAAACCAAATGTAAATATGACTTAATAAATTATACAATAAATAAATAAATAAATAAAAAGCACGCTTAATACCTTAACATCAGTATATAACAGCATATTACATATCATTATGTCAGCTCCAATTGATACCAATTGAAGTTCTTGATATCACTTTGATCTAATTCGCTCGAGTTGAATCTTTTAATTTTAATTCGCTCAATTACCGAATCAGCATTGTTCTAATTGTGAGACATTTCTCAACTATTTCATTCACTTTTATTTGAATATTTAATTGATAAAATCAAATTATATTTTCCAGCACTTTTCTGTTGTATAGATTTAATTTTTCAAGCAGTAAATTAATTCGTAAATTAATATATTACGAAAGAATACATTTTTTTTTAAATACTGATTTATAATTTTTTAAATTTATTAAATCATTTAATTTTAAATTTTCTAATAGACGAGACATTACTTCTGCAGATGTTATAAAGAATGAGTTTTTAAAATTTTTATTATTTTTATTCAGTTAAAAAACATTTTTTTCCTGCTATAATTCATTCGGCTTGTCAGTTTTATTACAACATATAAATTTTTATATCAATATTGGGTTCTTTTTGGATTCTCTACAGATGTCAATTGTCTCATGTGGGCGTACAAAAAAAAAACACACACACAAAAATGTGCATGAATAGGTATTCTGATATATAAAAAAAGAAGAAAGAACTTTTCCTGAGGGGTGCATTGATGTCTTTCTCAAACTACAAAAGAAAGTTGACTGAACAAACGGGCTTCTTTATTTTCATTAACGAAAAAGATGAGTTCTTATGTGTAATCTAACATTGATGACATCTTTTGTTTTCGCTTTCTGAAAGGAAATGACTTAGTTTTTTTTAATGTATAAATAAAATTTCGTATTTTATGATTAAAGTATCATTTTTTAAATTGTTTTTTTATTACTTTTTAATTAAAAACTTCGATATTTATTATTTATAATAACGTTTCAATTTATTCTTGTTATAAACTTTGCATAATCTCTTCAAAAAGATGGAGAGAAAGTTTATTATTATATAATGTTTATCAATACTAATCTAAATACGAACTCTTTTATTCTTTTTTTTTTCTTAGAAACTAAATTATCGACATTATTTTTTTTTTAAATTTCTATCATAAAAATCTATTACAATGTTAACATGGTAAATTCGACACTTCAAATCGAAGATGTAACTTTTATTCATGTTTCATTTTCAAACTATAATTATTTTTGGCCTCAAATTTCTCAACAACGCGCTTGGCGATTTATCAAATAAAGTTTTGAATATTATTAACCATTGGAAAATGCGTAAATGGAAAAATGTCAAGAAAGTTTATTAAAAAAAAAAAAAATCGTTACAAACAAATTGTTAATCATCAATATAAAATGCTTCGTAATAACGAAATTTTTTTAGCTAATAAGATTTTTCGTATTTATTAAAGTATTTTTCTTAAATTATCTAAGCATAAAAAAAAGTCATATAAATTGCATTATTTACAATATATTTGCAGAAATTATTTTTTTATCACGTATCTTTGATATATTATTGTCACGTCTCCTGTGTTACGTGAGCGGTCAGGTAACTGCGGGTGTTATGTTTAAATGTTAATTTCAATACAGATGTTAGGTAATACCCGAGTCCAGTTATGAACTCGAGTAACGTTGTTTCGACTAAAAACATTTTTAGAAGTTCTATAAATAAAAAAAAAAGCGCAAGAAACACGGCTTTAAAATATTCTAAACTCTCTTCCCGTCTCTAAATGATTAGAGCCAGGACCAACGGGATAAAGTTCGTATAAATGAGATTTATGTGCTTTCTCAAATACTACTAGAAAATGTCTCTGCATCAATATTTCATGTTTATCTTTGTTTGCTCATTAAATATTCATTTGCATGAACAAAATTTAGACAAATAAGTTTATTTGCCTATTTTCCCCATTCAAAAATAGAAAGTTAAGAAAATAAAAATATGACCTTTAATAAAAGTGTTAATCCGACTAAACATTATGCGATGTTTAGTTTGTAATCCCCTGTTTAAGCTCCGGTTGGTCATTGTTGTTACGAACTTGGTGAAACATAAATGGGTGAGAACAAAACTTCATTAACCGTGATGATGGCAATGGAAATTTAGAAATTGTTTAAATGTTTAACAAGAGATTTAAAAATGCTAAATTGGGGTTAATTCATCGTTTCATATTCTTTAATTTATTAATATATTTGTAAACTTGGAACAAGTTGTTCAATCGTAGAAGGAACTGACACGTAAAGGAAGAACAAGTTGTTCAATCGTAACACTTAAGACTACGTGTTAGTCCTTTCTAATATTAGAAATTTTTATAAGTTTTATGTAAATGTCTCAATAAAACTTTTTAATATATATAATAATAGTAAGTTATTATTTTAAAGAAGATTCAAAACACATATCATATATCTTCATGATCGCTTTTATGACTTTTTAAAAGTTTGTCGTCGATTCTTGTAATGAAAATCGATTTTACTGGAGAGAAATTTCATCGTAGGATTTTAAAAAAAAAATGTTAACGCACATGACTGGTTTATTAAATCACGAGAGAATCAATTTCTTAAAATGGTGATCATGTGACTTAACTAAACAATCATGAGAAGGCGAAAGTTTTACGACTTTTGAATCTCTGCTAACTTTGATAAAATTAATTTTTTTTTCTATAAAACCATCGTAAAATGATTTTTACGGAATAAAACTTAAAAAATATAAAAAAATAATTATAGTTACCTTTTTTTTTATTTAAAATCTTAACGCTATTATTAAATTACACTTGTTTTTTTTTTAGTTGTTTCATTAAGAATTCCCCACTTACCTTATAAATGTTACTTATTAATGAAATATTGCAGGCGTTTTAGAATATTAAAATAGGAACCATTGGTCCAAACTCCATTCAATTTTAACCTTTCGGAGCAATTTTATTAAAGCTAAGTAATAAAATGTTTGTTTTTCGTGCATCTCATGCAAAGTTACAGTCGTAAAAGTAGATAATTAGAGTTTAGTACTTTAGAAGATTTAACTGTTGTGGTCGAAATTTTTCCCTATTGTTTCGCCTAGAGTAAATAGTTCCTGAAGTGTTAATATCAGAGATTAATACTTCAAAAGATTACGATTTTAAATTTTGATTCAATTAACTATGAACGTAGAATTTTTCTATTAAACTTTTTCTTTGTAAAATTTGAATTTTCCAGAAGTAAAAAAAAGTGTAAAACATAGAATAATTACATAAAATATTTCAAAAATTAAGTAATAAACCTTACTCTGTAATTTTCTTCAAATTATCGCCGATGGCATTCATTAAGAAGAAAAATACCAATATCAAAGTATTCCTAAATTTCACTTAAAAGAATACCTTACTTCTAGCGCATTCTTCTAAATTAAATTACACTTTGCTGTCTAACATTAAAGAATTTGAATAAAAAAAATCAGTTTAGTTAAGCTACAATATTTTCCAAACATTTGCTTGTAACTTAGAGAATCTGTTGACTTTGAGTAATCCCTCATCTTGTCAGACACAAAATTAATGACTCGAAAATTCTTACGCAAAAAATCTATTTTTAATGGATTTATATAGAAGGTCTACAATTTGCAAGTCTTGACTGAAGCTTCAGAAGTCGTTAAACACCTGACCGGAATGCATGCCCTGTGACTAGAAACGTGGTATATTTTTTTTCTTCTTTTCTTTTTCTTGATTAACAACATCTTGATAACTAAAACAATATTTGGTCATATTTTATCACTAAAATATGACTTAGCCAATTTTTCAACTACATATCCATTTACTTTTTGATGTGTGTCTACAATTATAGATGCAAAATTAGTTACAATTGTAGATAGTTTTTGATGTGGATCTACCTTTATAGATACATATAACGACATAAAGTACATAAATATACTTAATTAATTATTTATAACACGAAATTTATATCCTCCTTTATACTTTACTTGCTTGTGTTTTAAGGATAATTTCAAAGGAGATAGCATATTTTTTCAATAAAATATTTTATTTTGCCGTTTCAATACTAATCTTTACCGGTAAAACTAAATGTAAAATCTACTTCTCTCTATATATATACATATTTATGAATATTACAATATATAAATTAAGCAAACTTGCCTGATATTCCATCGTATGTCCACCATTCTTCCCAACTCGCTCTAACCCCTAGAGAAAGAAAGAGGGAAAAAATACATAATAAATGCGAGGTTTTTTAAAAAGAAATTTAGGTTAAAACGTTTAAAAGTTTTTATAATAATATTTAAAGATATCAAATTAATAAAAATTGACCCCCAAAACAACTCTTTGGTTGTTCGTTTTAACATTGTTGTGGTTGGAAAATCGAAAGTCATAAAGGAGATGCTCGGTTATTCTAAATAATGTCTCTGTTGATCGTAAACCTCATCATAATTGTTTAATTTAAACGTGTTCAGATTTTTATTACTCTCATTTAAAAATTTTTAAATTGAATTTTGTCAACAATTACAAAGAATCCAGTTCCAAAGCTACATAATATACACTACACATTTGTTACGAAAACAGACTAAATTAGTCTGTTTTCGTAACAAATGTGTAGTGTATTTGCTGGTAGAATAGTGTAGTGTAAATGCTGGTAGAAATCATAAATGAGAGTATTTAATAACATAAGTTTCTTAGCAAACAACAATTAACATAACATAATTATTAAATTTATTATATATAAAATGCATGTGTATATATGTATATATTTATATATGCAAAGTTATTTTATTAAATAATAATTAGTTATTTAATGGAGTTGTGAAGTAGAGAATATTCTTTTTTAAATTTAAGAAAATTTATTCATCGAACCATCGACGTTACTCGCATAATTATAGATAATAATAAATTAAAAATTGGGTATGGTCTAGTGGTTAAACATGTTAATTAAAATAATTTATCACTATTTCATTCGATAGTTATAATCGATTTTAATATATAAATCTGTAAATTTTGCATGACCAAAAAATAAAAAAAATATTTTATAAATTTTACTTTCTGGGACTATTGACAAACATAATAAAATTTCTTCTACTGTTCGCTTGAATAGTTTCAAAATATTCATGAAACTTGCCTTGAATAGTCTTCAACTATATCAATATTAATATTGATCGATGCATTAAAAAAATCAACAAATCTATTCCCAAAACGATTCGTTTTCATTATGAAATCGTTATGTTTGTTTGATTTTCGACTTGCACTCATTTACATCACGCTTCTTCCTTTCATAATAGGAATTTTAATATATGGAGATAGGAAAATAATCTACTAAATCAATATTAATCTCATCTAAACAGTAACAAAAATTGTTTTGGTAAATATTCAAACTTTGTTAAGTAGATAAAAAGAAAGTTAAAAAAAATATATATATANATATTTAAACTTAAGTTTATATTATTCAAATGTATATAATATTTAAAATTTATTATTAAATAATGTTTTTAGTGAATAGCCATTTAAATACAGAACATAACTTAAGATGTTTATGTATAACTTTATTTTTCCTTCAAGTTTCTCGACAAGATAGGAATCACTCGTAAATAATCACTAAATTATAGAGATTATAAAAGCAATAACAAGCATAAAAACGTAGAATTTTATAACATTAAACAATGATTTCAACAATAATTCTATTCAATAGAATCAAACTAACTTCAGAATCAAATTAACTTTTACAGTATTTTTTTTCGCTTTTATATAATTTCAACATGCAAATTATTAATAAGACATTAACTTAAATGAAGTAAATAAATTATACATGAATATTCTAAACTATTTACTCGATTTCTTTACGCTATTCATGCGCATTATTCACGAATGTCTACATTACATAAATTAAATTATGATATTAACTCAATTATCATTTTATTGTAGGAAATTATATTGAATATACTTAAAACGTTTGAAAAAGTAAACAAAATTGTAATCGTATCAACAAAGCAAAAGCATAAACAACATTTTCATATTAATTATCATATTATCACAAATTATTTCCCTCCCATTTCATAAGCAAACTATTTCCTTTCTGTGAAATAACTACTCTTATATAGTATTAGAGTTAACGATGTATTAAAGTTGAGCGTTTGTATTGTATAAAGCCGGATACATTTACTGAATGGTGTTTCCCATCATTGTTGTATCACTTCAACGTGATGAATTGCAGATTCGACTTTCACACTTAGAGACCCACTCCAAATGAATATGCATTATTCTGCTACTTATACATTACTTTCTATAGTGGTATGTTGTTCATATAGAAACCGTTATTTAGCTAAGTAAGTTAAGTTTTTTTTTTTCTTTTGTATTTTTTAAATAGGTAGGATATAAAGAAGCATTGGGTTTAATGCATTTTCCAGGATAAAGTCAATATAAGAATATCAACGCCAAAAGACTGACAAAATAGCACTTGGAATGCTTGGAGAGAATCACATTTCTGAAATTTTCAGGTTATGGAAAGACGTTGAAAGCACAATATAGTGTTGTCATGCAGTTTGATCGAAATAGTTCTCCTCTATGTTAGTTTGCCATCTTTTATGTCGTGACAGCCAATCCGAAGTTCGTATGATGAAATCTCCGGTCTATTGATAAATTATAGTCTCTCTTTTGTAAGCTAACACTCTAGGCTATTCTAGAAAACTATAAATATGCAAATTCAAAACAAAATTTATTCTTGTAAACATTCCAAAAAGAAAAAAAATGGTGAAATTTTAATTTCACTTTACCGAGATGTATAACTTTAAAAAAAATTGTAAAGATAATAAACGACAGATATCAAATTAAATAAGGATATATAGCGGGGAGGAACGGCTTTTGTCGTGAAGTTTTTTTTTCGGTTTTTACGTCAAATTCCCACGTTTACTGGCAATTTAATATATCTGAATTAAATTGTCCATTTTCCTTCTTCTCATGCATTGTAAACTGCGTGCTTAACATCCTTTCTAATCAATAGACTTGTCCATCTCAGAAACCGTTTAGTTCCTTAATGGTTTTACCTCACGACACGGCTTTTAAAACACCCTAGTGGATGTTCTTAACCTGTAGTGGTCGATTAGCTCGAAATCTCGGTTGCTTCCATTCAAACATGACGTCATTTTTCTCTTAACATTCTTCTTTTCCTCGTGTTAATCTGTTGCGTGAGTGCATTGTTCGTCCATTGACCTAACCTATCTCTAATGCTATCGTGATTCTTTGAAACTTCCATAGGAAATACTTTACGGGACAAAATAGCAACGGAGATGAGCAATATACAAGAATTTAACAATGTTTCGGATAAAAGCATCAAAATCAAATTTGCCTAAAGTAAAATTTAAAACTTAATCAATAAATGGAACAAAGAAAAACGAAAAAAAGAAAACGTAATAAATAATGTTATTAGTATAAAAATGCCAGGTACGAAAGTTATTCTAGTGTAACCCTAGATAATTAAATATCTATTAGTCGTATATTCCTGTACGATGAAACCGATAATATTAAATGATAGTTCCTATTTAAAAGGGAAAAAAAGCCATGTTCCATTTTGATGGTTAATTTTCATTCAACGCCATTCACAAGATTCCATCACGTTAGTAAGATAATTGTTGGCAGCACATTGCTAACTCTCGTGTGTGAATCTATCGTATGATACATATGTATGAAGTTACGCATGAGGATAGAATAGTTGAAATTTTTTAAGTCCATTTAATAGCCACAGAAAACATTCTTAGGTTGGTCACGACACTAGAAACACATTTATAGTTGATTGTAATAGCTTATTGCGCCGTGAGATATTTTTATAAAATTTGTCTTCGCTACATATTTTTATAAAAGAATTATTTAAATAATATTCACAGTTTTATTCTTTTATAATTTAATTTTGTTATTCAAAGCATTTAGTAATGCACATTTACATTACTGACATTTTTCTACCGAACATTGTATTTGCTCTATCGGAAAAAAAAAGCCAGGAGAGACTGATGAAAAAGAAGAATTACACTATCCTTTAATTAATAATAATTATTGATTTTACTTTCAAACCGTGTAACGAAATAAGTTATGTTCCAGGTTTGGGTGTAACCTCAATAATATCTTAGGGTGACAAAATTACAAGGATTTGACATCTTACGTTTTTTTTTATACCTTATATCCCGCTCTGTATTTCCATGTAACTAATATATCATTGAGATCGTGTTCTGACGCCTTTCGATATTTTTTTTTAACATAGAACTGTATCGACATAAGTTATGATAATAAAGTAACACCCTTAATCCGGATCAAACTCTGTAATGAATTATTCTTGCATAAATTTAAGAGTATTCTGTATTATAAATGATTAGCTGCCGTGCATGTAACGGTTTTTATAATGTTCCCCTATTAATTTTATCATTCTATAAATGTTATCGCTGGTTAAATTTATACAAAATCGAATCTGGGAAAGAAAAATTCGTAAATCTTCGTAGACTAGCTGCGGTGTTAGTTTATGTTTCGCAATTGATAACGAATTATCTTCAAACTATTTCTAACAAATACTTTATAGCAAACGTTTTCTAGAAAATAAAAATAAAGCAAAAGATACGTGTAAGTAACTCGAGAGTGGTTTATAGAATAATATTGCTACCTAAGGAGTAACAAAGCCATCGAAAAAGCAGATTTACGATCTCTGAATTAAATTTGTTTTGAAAGTTTCCTTGTCAACCTAACCGTTCATAGGAAAGTATCAAGATTTCATCTTTAGTTTTTCAGCTTTAAAGAAATCTCGAGAGTATTTTCCAAGAGCTTCACTTAACAAGACTGCCTTCGGGGACGACTCCATTAATCGTCTCCAAAGGGGAAGGATTAACTAAGAATGTTTACAGTCTGTGGATGAGTAAACATCTCAGTAAAGTCACCGTTCTCAAGCCAAATAACATGTTGTAACTCTCGACAGTTTTTAATAAATACAAATCATTTTTTAAGAACCCAAAGCTATCGATATAAATGTGACTTTTTCACCTACATAAAATTTTAAAATCAAAATTTTTAATAATTTTGTATCGGTTTTAAGTATTAAAAGAAAGTTTGTAATATAAAAGTAAGAATAATTTATGATCATCTACTCAGCTAAATTATCATAATAATTTACAATGCAATCATTCCATTTGCTACTGTAATTAAATCTTTCAAAATACAAGAAA